ACAACAACTAAAATAGTTGGTTTAAGAGATGCTTTTATAAATTTGAGCAGTTTGACATAAATGTTTATTGTTTTGTTTAACTTGTGTGCTGGATCCCAAGATCCTATTAGCGTACTGGTTGATCAAGAACCCCAGATGGGGTCACAACCTCAACTTTGAGAATTCATGCTCTATGTCACTCTTGCTTTTTGCTACTGAAACAGTGATTTTGATACCTATATCCAGCCTAGCAGTCCTGAGGAACCAGCTGAAGCCTTCAGGAGTGGGCATTCACCTGCCCTAGTGAGCACTGGACTATGTCACTGGCCAACTGCAGTATATGAAGATATCATTCTGTATCTTTTTTTTTTCCTTTTCCAGCGTTTTATTGTCATTACACTGTCACAAGTACAGAGCAATGAAATGAACAGAGAACTAATCTTTATAGGCCTGTAAATTCTCAGTCATCTGAGTCTTGGCAACCACAAACAGGCTTAAATTGGAAGGCAACCAGACTTATGCTTGGATTTTCTGAAGACATTTCATCAGCTATTCAGGAGTCTTTGTGAATTGTTTCAACTCACTTGAGTTCAATCTGTAGTTGGAGCATTGATGCATTTAAGCAGCATGAAGGCCCATCCTCCTAAGCATATTCCAAGTCAGATGCAAATCCAATAGCCATTCATCATTTTTCCGGATTGTTGGAGTCCTTTGTTGTGCATAGACTAAGCGATTGGCCTTTTAAAGCATGATGATAGTGCTTATGTAATTTATTTGAAAGGAGTTCCATGACTGAAATGTAAATGCTTGGAAGCTGAAACCTCACCCCACTTTTCAGTAATGTATTTATCAACTGCAGATCGCTCTGGTGCAAGCCAACAGAATTGACAAAGACTCCGTGGATAGGTGTTGAAACGTCTCCAAAAAAACTGAGAGCAAGTCCAGTTGCCTTCCAACTAAAGTCTGTTTTGTGATTATCTTGAGATAGTGTGCTCTTACACTGGGTGTTCATCTGCACAATAAATTTGAGTGGAGTCACAGCACTGATGTTCTCTACAGAAAGGCCAGCACAGAGGACCCTTTCGACCCTGTGGTGGCATCTGCCCTTTTTATGGTGCACTTTGTTGAAGCATCAGTTTATCTACTGCTGAAAGGAACAGATTATATTAATTCATCAGCAAGGCCCAGATGATCTCTGCTTAAAGTACAGGTGAAGGAAGACAGAGGGATTTTAGCAACAATAACATGATTGTTGGGCAAGATCTCACCCAATGCATGAAGCTATTACAGAGCTGGGGAGCTCCTTCAGTGAATAACTAATGCTTTTTGTTAGAATTCCAGTTTGTGTTGTCTGTTTTTGTGGTTGTTTGTGTGTTTTTCTCCCTCCACCACCAGGTGGTGCCCTGTCCTCGTTGGCTCTCCTACACACTTGCGGCTCATTGGATCATTACTGAGGAGTATTTGAGCAGTGGACTGTCACTACCTCGAGGCCAGAGTGTTTGCCAGTTTTGGGTACTCTAGCCAAACTAAGATTAGCTGAGTCTAACCTAGCTTTGTTTCTCTGAGTCTAACGAGTTCTTTGTCTTTGCTCTTCAGCAGGAAGCTTTCCTGTGTTACTGAATACCTGGACCTTCTCCCCCCTGGAAGGAAATACTGAGTTCACACTGAACAGGGGAAACCTTCACATGTGCCGTTCAAGTTCCCATTGGAAATCCGAGTGACAGTCTGCTCCATTACTCCTCCGGGTCCAACGACACCTGTCGTCTACCTGTCCGCCCTCCAACGTGTGCTCTTTTCACTGGATCCCCCACACAGACTGGATTCAAGGACTAACCAGGCCCCCCTCAAACGTGTGTCCCATTCCTGATTATCTAAGAGCATCCAAGATTCTCATGGTCCCTGAACTGACCTCTGAACTTCCCTTCTCACTTCTAGTTCCGGTTCACCAGCTCACTGAGTACCAGATCCTGCTCCTGTTGACTTCCACAATAAACCGGTAAAACTTTTACTGTGCTCTCTGAGTGGTTTCTCTACATGTGGGTCAGATTCGTAAAACCGATCATCACACTTTTTATCACAGATCTTCCCTCCCAGCTGTTAATATACTTTATACTTGCAGTCTTTTAAAAAAGGAAAAAAACAAAAACAAATGTGCTGTTAGCACAAATTGTTTTTTTAATCATTTCTGTTCTTTAAGCTAGCCTGTTGATAATTTACAAACATTTGTTACTGTGCATGGAAATTACACGTCTCCCACTGATGGTTTTTCTTTTCCTCCATCCCTTTATCCCTCTGGGAATATTTTGACAATCTCTTGTCCAAAGCCCAGCAGCTGTCCTCTTCTGCAGCAGAGTGGCCACCAGGCCCACTGATGTAGGGGTGTGTCCCGTCTGTCGCTTTCAACCCTTGGTTTTCCTTTTTTATTTATATATAATATATATTATTTCATACTTCATACTGCCCTATTCAATTTTTATTGCTAAAGCGGCTCCACATATGATCCAAAGCAAAGTGTTTCTCATGAGACCAAAATAATATCTTTCTACCCTGACCTCTATTTCACACAAACTGCTTTGTTTTGGTTGTCAGGACATCAGCCATGCGCGTGTCATTGCCCCTTGACTTTGCTGTAGTGTCTCTCTTCCTCTCTCTCTCTCTCACACACACACATGCATGGAGGAGGAGGAGTGGTGGAGGGGTGGGTGAGCGCACACAGACGCATGTAGGCCGTTGTCCTGCTTGCAGGCGTCCCATTCGTCAACGTGAGGCTCATTCTCTCTGGCCTCTGCCTCCAGATTGGAGGATGAGGAAGCGAGGGAGGGCTGACGGAGGAGAGTTGCGAGGCAAAACTGCTGGTCACATGAGCACAGATCTGTTTACAAACCCAAGGCAGAGCAGCAAGAGAGGAGTGAGGGGAGGAAGGGGGGAAAGGCAAACTGCAGGCACCATTATGGACCCAAAAAGGAGGTAGAAGGGGGGAAGCCTGCCATGACAAAGCCAGCTGGAGGTGTGAGAGGCTGACAGACACACTCCGCCTTTGTCTCATATTTTTTTTCCTCCCTGTCTTTCTTAATCGAAGGAGCAGATGGTTGGAGGGAGAGTAGGTTCCCCCACCCTACACACAAAACACACGCACATATCTTCTGATGAACACACAGCAGTTATAGAGGACTGTTGTTGACTGCATGGAGCTATCCTCATGTTGTTTGTTCTTGGAGGGGAGAACATCATCACCTTCATTTAGAAGGAACACCTACAGCAAGATCAGAGGACCAGAGGAGCAGGAAACCAGAGAAGTGGTGAGACTTGAGAAAATCAGATTTCGATTGATGTTGGATTATTGCTTTCACTGGGTTGAGGATTTGCCATTAAACGCTGGATGTCACTGTAACTGGCGAGAGGCAGGGGACAAGACTGCAAAGTGACGCAAAGTGAAGTCAAGGAGGCTGTTTCCCTTCTCTCTCTGTGAGTATTTCCTGTTTGCAAGCTGCTTGTGGTGTTTTTGACTGAGCTTTTCACATTTTTGCAAAAACATGTCCTCACTTGTTCACGAGGCCTCTGATTTTGTTTGTTCTCAACAACATTTCTATTCTGTTATGCTTTTCTCTCCTTTGGTGACATCATTCAGAAGCATATGAGGTCCTCAGATCCAAATCCTCCCCCCCTCAACTCAACACGGAGTGGTTAATCCAGATTTGGGGAATGCTGTGCAGCCCAGACTGCTGAGCCAACAATAAAAAAAAAAAAAGAAAACACACCTCTGAAGGATTTCTGGAATCTGAAAATCTCCCATGACTGGTTAGTGAAGGAACTAACCCAAAGATCCAGGTCAGGGTAGCTGGATCGGGACATTTGCTTAAAAACAAGTTGCAGTGTCTGAGCTTCCAGAACCAATTCTTCTGGCGTTTCTCCAGTCCTTCTCCTGACTGGGCCTGAATTCACTGCTGCTGCCTTGGGAGTCAAATTTCATGCAACCATTCCAATGGTGTAACGGTAAGTGAGTGGATTTCACCGCCGACCATGACACACATGTAAGGTAGTTGGAAACTGTAAACTTAGTGAGGAGTTTCACATTTATTTAAAACTGGAGACAACGGTGGCTGTTTATACAGTATGTGTGTGATAAAGCTGGATTTTTAGACTTCTCTTAGTATATTTTTACTGTATTTAGACATGGGTGTTTAAAAAAACATTTTCCAAACCTCTATCCTTTCATTAAGATTTGCTATATGGGGTTGGAGTGACCGATCCAGTAATGACCCCCTCCCCCACTTGTTACTAACTACCACTGAAAAAAACTACCGTACCTTCCCTTTGCTTATTAACTCAGAAAGTTGGTCAGCTGGAAATATCATCCAGCCTTGGCTTGGTTTGGGTCAATTCTGGATTATCATGGTTTAAAAAAAAAAAAAAAAACTGGTTTCAAATTCTCTAAAATCATACCATATCAAACTATCACATCATTTCCATGGTATAACCTTTAATGTTACCTTAACATTCTAACACATTTGTCTCTTCAGAGCAAAAAGGTCTTATTCCCCATAAGTGCTGTAAAATTATTAGATTTTGGGTTTTTTTCTCTCATTAAATACTTTTCACTTCTTTTTATCCTCTAAAAAATTCTTATAGATAAGTATTTACCTTGTTAAAACCCAATATAAGTGCATAAGATAGCTTTTTTTTTTTACTGAAATATTCTTAATTTAGTCACAAAATGACACAGAATTAAGAATTGCATCAGTTTATGTGAAGATAAACATGGACCCATGAGCAGCAATTTAAAATAGCCAATCCATTTTTAGGTCAATTTTTAAAATCGACAAAGTTAAGTATCATTTTGTTAAAGTCTGACACTACGTTCTCTTGAGGGTCATTAAATGAAGATGAGATTATGATGCAATCCTGCCTCAATTTCCATCGTTACAAGAAGGACAATATGACAGGATATATATTGGAACGTGAAAAACAATCACAGGTGTGTTGTTGTATCTAGAAAAGATACAACTATAAGAAAGATTCAAAAGATTTAGCTATAAGAAGCCAGCAGCTTCTGTGGCGCTTGTGCGCTGAGAAAGTATCCGGTTCAGTCCCACCAGCCTCCACTCTGGGTTCCTGAGCAAAACCCTTAAACCCTGATTGCTCCCCGGGCGCCACACAATGGCAGCCCACAAAATGGCAGCCCACTCTGCATTGTATCAAAATGCAGAGAACGATTTTTCCCATTGTGAGAAAATAAAGGGATTTAAATTTATGTAAAATAAATAAGCTGGAAGACTGAACTAATCGTATTTCATTAGTTTCGTATACACTCACTGTATATATGCATATTTGTTTAGAACTGTGTCATGTTTCACCTATAGCATGACCCTACTCAACCCAGTCCCCCAATAAATCCCCCTAAACCCCCACCACGGCAAATAGTTCGACCCATACCCCCTGCTGCCTTCAAGCTGGAACCATTCATTCAATGTAAAGAATGACACTCTGCCACTTATATGCTGGCAAACACCATCCTTTCCAACAAATTAATAGGAACACATGTGCTCTGTGGAAGTGGGGCTTCCTCCTCTTTGTTTTGACCAAATGGTGCTTTTCCCCCAGAGTCCATTGGGTTTAACACGCCCCCTTTCCCAGGCAGCAGATTCCTACCACATGGCCCCCTCTGTCCATCTCCCCCTCACACTCAGACACTGACAGGACTGCGCTGCACCCTCACTCAGCCAGTCACCTCAGAAGATTTTGTGAAACAGATGGTGTCATGACAGAAGTGCCGTCCATCCTCTATGTTTGTCTTGTTCACAGCCAATTAACGCTCGGTCCTGGGAGCACCTCAGTTGCCACCGCAGTGCCGGGTGCAGATCCCCCGACACACCTGTATATTATAGTTGAATACACCAATGCGACCTGATGCAGGGAATCTGGTTTTAGTGTTCTAGGATATGAGTACTTCAAAGGTGTATCGTCCTGATAGTACTATAAAGACTATCAGTACCCAGAGAATAAATATGAGCTGTTTATAAAGCATCACAGATTGTTTCTGCGTGTGGCAGTATAATCTATCTCTGGAGACAAGTTTTGTTTATTGTAGTATTGTTTTTGGAGGGCATCAACATGCTTTGGTAGATTTATTTAGAAACAAAATCGATATTTTTTAATGTCTTTTTTTCTAAACAGCATAGATATTAACCTTTATATATCCTGATACTATGAGACCAGATGCAACCTTTTCAATGGACCATGTTGTCGAACTGGAAACCATGTGTCTGGATGGACAGCTGACATTTTTAATACTATGTTTGCAATAAATCGAAAGCATATAACTGCATATTGCATGTTTTTCTAACATAACGCAGCTGCAGGTTTTTGTAAATATAGAATATTTAATACATTTGCTTCCTCTAAGATGGCGCTGCGCATGCAGCAGCCTGTTATGTTGGCTCTGTGTTCTCCTTTCAATGTGCAGTTACTATAACCTGTTTATTATATTTGATACCCAGTGCAATAGCTATATATATAAATACCCATCTATATAAATACCCATGTTAATACCCGGTGCAATAACCCTGTGTAAGAATCCTGCTAAATAAGAGACTTCAGCTGTCATATATATATATGTGGACACACTGTATATACCGTATATGTCCCATCCACCTTTTCCTCCTTTTGGCACCTTCTTCTTCTTTTTGACTATTCAGCTGATGTAACGAGTAATTTTCTCCACTGTGAGATCAATAAAGTCACAAAAAGTGGCATAACTTCTCTTATAAATGTAACTTTTGTTGTTAATACTTTTAAATATTCAGGTATACGTATTGTGGAAAGCTTAGTGTCATTTGTGAAAACTGAAATGTCAATTATCTGTGATACAACATATTCATTACACTGTTTTTATCAACACTGGGAAGGTAGCAGCAGTTTTCAAACTAGTGTGCATATAAAAAAAACATTTTTAGCAAGTAAAATGAAAGGGTTTGTTGCTAATGTAAAAAGATAAAGAAATTAAAAAATGCTTTGGTTTCATCAGCATCTACTGTAAGCTATCAAATTTCAAATGTGTGTATTTGCACACTCTTCCTGGCAGGATGCCTTTGTGGTTTGAGTTTTCATCGCTCTGAACACTACTGCAGCATGACGTCTGACATCTACCACCTCCCTCTCAACATCTATGTCATCGTGCTGGGCATCGGCCTCTTCGTCTTCATGCTCAGCCTCATCTTCTGCTGCTACCTTTTCAGGTAGGTGCATTATGCAGCAGATGGGAGAAAAATATAAACGAAAATAAATCACGACAGAAGTCCAAATGTGTGATTTATGGATAAAAATAAAAAAAGCAGATTATTTCAAAAGGCCATAACTATCTCAACCTCTGCTGAGGATAATAATATACTCCATAAAGTGAAAAAGATAATAGACATGAAAAAAAAAATACTCTTTTACATTCATACAGATACAGTATGTCTTTAAGTAAAGCAGATCTAGCTTGTTTTGATGTGAAAACAATGCTGGCTAGAAAATGCAGGTGAATTTAAATCAACTTTACAAAATCAAGACCTTTCACCTCAGAACATTCAAATTGCTTCACATCCTTGTTGCTGGGTTTTTCTCGCTTTCTGCTCTTGTCTACTTTCAGCTGTCTGTGAAAACCACTAACTGACACCTGTCTGGCTCCAAAGAGCTAAAAAGGGCAAGTTGGTTTCAAATGTGATAAGCATAAGTATAAAAACATATTCAAACTGCATACATATCATTTCTGTGAGTACTTATTACCATTTGCAATAAGTACTCACAGAAATGAATACTTATGAGTACTAAGTTAATAAGTTTTATATTAATTTGGTTAAACTGAGCCAAGTTATGTCGGTATTGCACACGCAGCGCTCTGCAGGATGTTAGAAGGATAAAAAAAAATATTTTTTAGTTCAGATTAGTTTAAAATTTAATTTCACAATATTTAATTATTGATATAAAATAATCCCATGAGTAATAGAAGAATTTTTTATATTATGATTATTTATCTGTTTTACATTTATTGTCACCCCGAACATTCTAGTTTAATGATTCTCTCTAAAGCTGTTTAGCCATTTTTTACATTTTTCTGGTAAACCAGAACGTCTCGGAATCTTATAATTGTTTATCTTAAATTTCCCTTTTTTGTCCTGTGATGTAAATATGACTAAATACATAAGAGTTCCATTATGGGAAATATAAGGGAAAGTGGCTTTCTGATCACGTAAAAAGGAACAATAAGATCAAGTAAGTCTGACCTGTGGGTGGTTTGGATGTTTGAAGTGTTGCAGCTTTCTGTTCTTGTCTTGGGGTCACTCTGCATAGTAGGGGGATGTTCTCCACATGCTTTTCTGGATCATTTCCAGGTACTCAGGCTTTCTCCCACAGTCCAAAACATGCATGTTGGGTTAATTGATTATTTGAACAGCCTGTATGTATGAATGCATTTGTGTAGATGGCTATTTTTCTCACAGTTGACCGGCAAAGTGGGGCCCTAAGTTTACCTCTGTCTCTCACCCAGTAGCCTCTAGAGATAGGCCCCAGGTCTTTATGATAAAGCTCGGATAGGTGGGCATAAAATAAATGGACGGTTGGACCTAAACCAGGGAAGTTTGCTTGATCCCACTGGGAATTTACCTGGAGCTGTGAGTTCTGTTCAAATGAGACCTAGCGTAGGTTGTCATGGAGTCTAATCTGAAACAAAGCATTAATATATGGAGCATTTCCCCCTTCCCTCCAATAAAATACGTTCTTAAAACTGGATTTTTATTTTAGTTTTTCAAAATAAATGATGGATTCAGTTTAAAGGGTTGTACACATTTTTAAATGTGCCATCAGTTGCAGAGGGTGCTTCAGCTTTAGAGCTCAATTTTCAGAACTGGTCATTGTGATGTTATTGGCTTTTTTTACTTTAGGTTTTTGCTGCTACTTTAAAGCTTTGAAGTCAGAAACTTGTGATTATTATCTTGTCTTTTTTGAAAGCAAGAGGTAACTATCTTTTTTTGACATCAGGAGTCAGCTGCAGGCTCATATTTGAAATGTTTCCTGGGGAAAAACATTGCTGGCCCCAGAGTGTCTAAAATTGCACAAGTATGCTAATAAAAGAGGGTTGGTAAATTGACGTAGGCCAAGACATGCAAGAAAAAAATGCTTAATCATCTTTTAGAGATTTTTAGTAATTTACTAAAACCTGATGGGGAATTTGGAACAAGCACATACTGGTCATTATGTTAGCTGTACCTAAAAGCTCTTTGAGCTCAACTTCATGTCTACTTTACCCTTATTTTTTTTATCTATCAAAAAAAAAAAAAAAAACTGCTAATAGAAACACTTTTTATTCCGGAGGAATCTTTTAAGAAATTACAATGTGATATAGCTAATTTCTCCTATTCTGATGTGTCCCATTCAAGCCTGCATTAAAAATTTGGCTGTAGGAATGGGACCATGTTCACCCTAAACTTGCCTTCTATTATGTCTGACTTCATGTGAGTTTTTTAAATGATGGCTAGTAGGAATCCTTTAAGCCTTCTGTGGAGGAATCCAAGTTGCAGGCGGTGGTCTGTTTTTGTTATTTCACAAAAAAATGTAGACGTTCCAGTTTGGAGACAGCATTATCTAGCTGTATCCTTCCAGGGCCTGCTTCAGAGTGGCTGCTTCATTGTTTCTTCAGACCCAGGCCTGTGTGGATTGGTTTATTGCTTTGCTAAAGACGTGTAAAAATTTCCAGAGATATAGTCTCACACTTGAAATTAGAATGAAAAAGAAATACTTTCTAAAAAAGAATACCCTTTAGATTATCCATAGTTCTGTTTTATGCAAGTATTTCTTTATATCAGCCCATCGACTCTTTCTACAGGATTTAGGTCTGGCAATGAAATACAGCCATAGAAGGAGATTATTTTATGTAGATTTGGCCATATGTTTAGGTTAAGGTTATAATCCAGCTGAAAGAAAAATCCAACTGACCTGTTTTCAGATTTCTGGCAGGGGTCACCATGTTTTTCATTTTAAAGACTTTTTGATGTTATGGAATCTAACCAGGCTCCTAGGGTGTCTGGAAGGCAAACGGACCCAGAGTATTATAGGTCCTCTGTCATACTAAATAGTGGGCATAGTTTGCTTTTCTACATATTCATCTTGTCCAGGAAATTGGGTCAAATAACTCCAGCAAAAATATCAGTAAGCTTAAAATGTTTCACAATTCCTCAGTGAAAAAAACAAAACGTTTCTTAAAGTTTGTCATACAGCTACACCTGGAGAATCAAACCAAATCAAATATCCCTGCATCCATATGAGTCCTCTAGATCCTCAGTTGACTCGAGTATTATCCACCATGTGCTCCTCTTCTTGACAAGCAGGATGATACTGGGGGAGAAAGCTGCATGCATAAGTGGATGGATTGCCTGACCAGTTGACACCCAACACCATCATTCCCTACATCTTTAATCGACACACCAGGGCTCTTGTCTTCAGCTCTTAACCTGATTAAAAAGCTTTGGAACCCACCCACATATTGAGGACTAGGCTTATGATTTAAATTCATTATACTTCTGCAATAACCTGTCATGTTTAGAAGCTGTTAGTCCCTTGATGCAGTTGTCACTCAGCAGACCGCAGTAGTATCCTCTCTGTGTCTCCCCCAGGTTAAAACAGCAAGGAACGAGGGAGCACTTCAGCTACAACGAGGTATGTCACAGCCATATCTGTCATTGTGTGGGGGACATATAAGCAGGGATCGTGAGAGATGTTACAAGCCTGGGGGGTACAGTATTTGCCATTAGGACACTTTACACCACTCTGTATAGATGAGCTTAATGCCAACTATGTATCAGTATCTACCCTCTGGTTTTTCCAAGTGTATGTTGTGCATTAACCTGGTTATAGGTTTCCTTTGTAAGGAAAATGTTCTTGGCTTTCTTTATTAAGTTTGTGGGTCGTCCATAACTGCATTAGGAGGAGGAACTGCAAGGTGGAGGAGAGCTTTAATGAAAATATCCAACATGCTCTCATTTTTCCTCACTGCAGGTGGTGCTGAAAGGAGCAAGCAAGAAGCTGAGCCTTCTTGGAGTGAGTCCCCTTTTCTCTAAAAGCTGTTTTTTGGTTGGTTTTGTTTCCACACTTGATTATATCAGGGATGTCGGATCATTTTTATATCAGGGAACTCCAGCATTATCCAATATTTGAAAGGACCAGCTCTTTGAAAGAAATTTTAAATTTCGTCATTTATTTCACAAAGAGCATAATACTCTGATTTTATAACTTTATTCCCATTTATCTAGAAGTTTAGTTACATGGTAGACTTTAAAAGAAGACATGCCCCTATTATGACATGGCAATTTTTTTCTGTCTCTTAAATGCTGGATAAATAAATTGCAGCCAGATCCAGCATGCAGGCCTTGAGTTTGAACCATTTGGCTTAGATGATCCATTAGAAGCTGGGAGGGTTTGTTTATTTGGTAAACTCAATCAGCTTTTCCTTTTAGACGATTAGCTGGTTAATGGTGCATTAGTTTGGGTGGAGATGTCTTTAAATAAGGTCAATGAGTGGGCCTGGAGAATCTGTTACTTCTAGAACAGAACAAACATCAGCACAATCACACAATTCTCCATTGTCTATGAATATATATACAATTATTAAAAAAGTCTGCTTATTTTAGTGGTATATAGAAACAGACTGATGTTCTGAAGCTTTTATTTTTGCTAATGAAAACAAAACTTTTAGACAGGAGCATTACACCAGAACAAAAGTGTGTTTTGTAAAAAGGTATATTCTCTAAGCGCTTACAAGTTATTTCCTAAAGACACATTCAACCAACAAACAAGCCTCATCAAAATACTTATTTTTAAATATTCTAATATGACAGCATAAGGGTGGGTATGTTAATATAATTTGTGCTTAATATCATCTGGAAATACATTTTCTGCTCTATTTTTATACAAGCCTCCACAAGACTCTTTAGGCATTTTTAAGAATTGTTAAGAATTTTAATAATAATAGCCATTTTTCCGTTTAGCAAGGATGAACCCATCTGTCACCTTAAGGTTATCATACTTTGGGGGATGCGCATAACAGAAAAAAGTGACTAAAGCTCAGCTATTGATAGTGGAAGGAGTCCCCAACACATTTGACCAAGAATGTATTTTAATGCCAACTCTAAATATGCATCTATATATATCTCTGTGTGTTTGTGTGTATATATATATATATATATATATATAAAAACCTCTTTATGTGTCAAAATGGTGTTCTAGCTTTGAAACAAAACAAAAGCATAAGTTGCAAACTGTGACTTATTTGAGCATTAGAGATACATTTATTAGATTACTGTGAACTATCACTGGGAAAAAGAGAACATAAATGGCTGCATTTGTCAGAAGAGGCCAAACCTGCAGTTTTAGAGCGACTAATGCTGGAGTCAACAGAGTACATGAAGCTCAGTGCTCTCTGCAAGTGCAAACATAGCTGCATAACAGCATTGTAGTATTTGAAGTCATAGAACCTGTTATGCAGAGCCGATTGTACCCGGAGCGTTTTTAGATGCATCTCCTTCTAAAAGGCAAGCTGGTAACAAAAATGATACAGGTTTTATTCAGTAAATCTGATGATATGTGGATAAATGAGTTTTGTAATATTAAACTACAGCTTCTAATGGAATATACAGAATTACAGTGCCTTAAAAAACATGTGCTTACCCTGTGTCTGTTAAATGTCACAGACAAGGTTAGCTGTGGTTTGAGAGCTTCGTCAGGTGGTTTTCACTTCTTTAATTGAGCAGCAAGCTTACAGATTGGGAGCTCACCCATGCAGCACCCAGGCTCTCATCCACACATCCCCACCTTCATGCAGTCATGCATCTTCCTTCCTGTTCATCTTTTAACAAGCTTTTCTTCCTCATTCCACTCTACAGCTTTTTTCAACATGCATCATTTTTATTGTGTTTTAGAACATAAAATAATCTCACTCTTTTCCTTTTCATAACCTGTTTTAATCCTCATCATCCTTCTCAGTTTCTATTTATGCCATTTCTTTATCCTGCTAATCCATCTCAGCTCTTTACATTTTACTTGTACTTATCCTTCTCATTGATCTTTGCTTTTCATCCTCCCCTCATCCTTCATACGGACCATTTTAATTTCACTCATCATTCTCAACAATTTTTATGAGCTATTTTAATCTTTTTTGGAATCGATTTCCATTCCACTAACCCTCCTGATTATTCCTCTTTACAATTTTTAAGTCACATTTTGCCAGGTAGATTGATCTTTAAGACTGTCTGTCTCATTTATGACTTATGATTAACCCACTCATACTCCTTATTCTTCTTCTGGACCTTGTTTACAACCTCATTGTCTCCTTCCTAAGTTTTTACTCTTCTTACACATCTTTATTTCCAAATGGATGACATTTCATCCCATTAATTCCCTCAAAAGTCCCACTTATCCTTATAAGCCATCTTCAACCCACCCTTTTCCCTGATTCATTTTCCTTATAAAGATCAGCAATAAATGTGTCATTGAAGTAATTGGTCTTCATTTTTTGTAGTCTTAGTGACCACTCAAAGTGTTGCACATATGCACCGAGGTTCCTTAAAAACTTCTATACATAGATGAGTAAGTAACTTGGAATTACATGCCTTGCAGACAAGCCCCTGAAATCACAACCATATTGTTATAAGACAGTACCATTACCCACTTAGCCACAGGAAACATATTCAGATATATTTGGGGTCTGGATCTAATCAGACTCAGCCCAGTTTCCTCCATCTGTAAACCTTGGTTAGTCTGGCAGACTCCCACAGTACCTCAGAAAACCTGATATGAGACATAAAATGAAACGAAATTTGTTCCCTTGGCACATTGAATGTTTTTGTCTTTATTATATCTTAAACTAACCCTCTCTGCGTCTGTTCATGCAGCAAACCTGTGCGGTGTGTCTGGAAGAGTTCAGGACCCGAGATGAACTGGGAGTGTGTCCATGCTCACACGCATTTCACAAGAAGTGAGTATTATTTGAGTCTTGAAGCTGATTCAGGAGCAGTTCGTTGTGTTATAGCTCGTATCTGTTTGTGTTTTCATTCACTGAGAAATTCATGTGAGTTTGCTCCGAATCAGAGAGGAAACTCCACCTGTGCTTTGGCAACTAATATAAGGCAGATTCTCATTTTCTTTAATATACTGCAAAGATTTAACTCTTTAAATAATTTTATAAGATCAAACATCTATATGAATTTTATATGAGAAAAACTTAAATCCTATACTCTATGTAATTTCTGCAGAACAGAATGCAAAAGTTTACCCTTTCAATCCACAGAACAAAAAGGTTAATCTAAAATACCTTGTTAGAAATGTTAGAAATATTAGAGGAAATTAAAATTAAATTGTCTTTCAGGCAGATTTCTACATGGCTCTAAAACCTAAGCTTTATTTTTTCAGACTAACAAAGTCCTATGATTTTTATTTAAACCTAATTCAATTTCACTGACTGAGGAATCTTTGAAATTGAAGATATTAGATTTTCTCTGGCATTTGCTTTAGAAGACACGAGGAGGACATGCAAAACTGCTTTCTACAAAAAAAAAAACCTAACTAAAACAGTGTGGTTAAAGGGGATTTGTTTGTAAAAATGTCAGTTTAAAATGTGTCTTAATCATAGCATGTTGTTATTACAATGTTAAAGATAATTTCTAAAGGTTTTTCCATCAGCAGAGGAGCTGTGTTAGCTCTGGGAAGGAAGAACACGCTGAGCTTTATTAGAAACTTGTATATGTGCCTAAAAGGCAAAACATTTATCACGGCTATAAATATATCACATCTGAGCTCTTAATGAGGCATTAAATCTGTTCATTTGTCATGTTAGGAATAATTTTTTCAACCAACAACTTTAGTGAACTAAGAAAAAATATTTCAAATATTAAGAGTATTTTCTTTAATCCACACAGGGACAAACGTAAACATATAAGTCTTAAATACATAGGGACACCAAAGCTATAATAAGAAAATATTTCTGTTTTGTGCCACATACTTTTAAAGCCATCAGCAAATGTCTAGATTAGTTCAGGTTGAGACCTGGGTCATCTGTAAAACTATTGTGTGTTTGGGATCAGTATCCTGTTTAACTGTCCCATTGCATCTAACCCAAACTACTGCTCTCTGGTCAGAGTAAATCAGTGGAAAATGTCCAGGATCGACCCAGGAAGTTCAAAGGTTCAAGGCTTTAATAACCCAGAAGATGGCTGAGGACCATAATGACTGTCTGCAGTGAATTTGTTTAATATCAAACTCAGAGGGCGCTGATAAAGCAAGATTCCCCCACCTTAAAAGGGCCTCTAAGGAAAAGCCAAATGCCTTCTGGTAATATATGTACATTTAAAGGAGAAAGACTGAATTGTCTGGCCAAAATTACAAAAAATAAATAAATAAAAAAATTTTAAGGGGTCCAGATAATGCTTTCAGATCAGAGGACCGAACAATTATGAACTTCATTCATTATTGATGCCTCGATGTTTTTCAGTGAGACAGCCCTTTAGCACACTGCAGAAACAAAAGCACAGAGGTTTTATGATTTGAGGAGGAAATATACATTTATAAACAGATTGGGGGGGAACTGAATGTGGAAATGTTTGTATAAAATAAAAAGTTAATGCTAAATCCCAACGCAAAGTTTTGCATCACTTGTTTTTTTAGGTCTAGGTTAGGGGTCTGCAACCTGTGGCTCCAGAGGCAACAAGTGGCTCTTTGGGGCCTTTATAAAGGCTCCTAATGAGCAATGTGCAATTACTATTTGATACCCTGTGCAATAACCTGTTTCTCTATATCTGACACCCAGTGCAATAACTAATATATATATATATATATATATATATATATATATATATATATATAAATAAATGTAAACACCCTGTTTACATGGGTATTTATATTGCTCTGACTAAAAAAGCCGTCATATGTGGACGCACTGTATACTGTATATATCCCCTGCATCTTTTTCTTCCTTTGGCACATTCTTCTCCGTTGACTATTTGAGCTGATGAAACGAGTACATTTCTCTACTGTGAGATCGATAAAGACAATCAATCAATAATAATTTAAAAAAATAATTTAAAGAACCAATAATACTTTAAATTTTTTAGATCTATTTTTTTTTATTACCTTGGAAATGTTTTGAATCTTTTTTTGGAACATAATTTTCCACAAATTTCAATACCTAAAATAAATGGCAACAGATTTTCCTATATAAGATATTTAAATTAGGTTGCATGTGTCAAATTTGCACCTCTAAACTATTTTTACTTGGCAGGACTCAAATGGCTCTTTGGATTTAAAATGCTGCAGAATCCTGTTCTCCACTATGCATTTAAAACCAATTCCTTAACGTTCAGCAAAAACCTTTTTTCCTAAGCAATATGTGAATGTGTTATTGAAACCTCTGCTTTTCATCTTTCCAGGTGCCTTCTCAAGTGGCTGGAGATCCGCAGCGTGTGCCCCATGTGCAACAAGCCCATCCTGCGGCTTCACTCCGACGCTCCCCAGGGCGCCGAGGGTCCCATGGACCCGGAGGAGGTGTGAGATAATTGAGTGCGGAAGAGAAAGATCTGCTTCCCCTTTCAGAAAACACCCACATTAAACACACTAAAGATGATGACCATCTCAGAAGGTAATGATCCTAAGCTGGCCAGTTAGGAAAGACTTGCCTCTGCTGGGATTTAAGACATGGACAGCGGCAACATGTTTGGATTAGTCAGAGAGGACGCTGAATGAGTAGGATTATTTCCATATACAAAAAAAAAAAGTTCCTAGTTCTGCTTCCATGTTACAGTGTAACACAGCTGTTAAAAAAAATAATCACATAAAAACAATGGCGAGAGGAAAATGGATTATCAGAACCAGTAGAGCAGCACTGCCAGCGACAAACATCACCCGAGGCGTGGAACTGGACATCCGAGCATCAGCCCGAATACCTCGACTTTCTCAGGGGTGTTTGTTACCAACCCAGCCAGCACAACCCATGTCAGTAACCATAGAAACCCAGTGCCACATATGCATCTTAAGTACTGCCAGTGTAGGTGAAACGCCCCAGCAGCCAGAGTTCGCCGTATCATCTGGCTGAAACAGAGACCAGCTGGAATTAAACCCAGACGACTTCAGTAGGAACAGGTTGTGTCCCCGTCCCCCTGGTCAATCAGAGACTCCTAGAAAACTAGTCCTGCCTGTATGTACTGTGTGGTAAAGTATCCCCTATACAATGTTATTTTGTATTTTAAATAAAGTGTCATGTAATGCAATCCTGTTGTGATTTATTAAAAAAAAGAAAAGAAAAAAAAAAAGAGAAAAAGCACAGCTTGATTATCTAGTTTATTTTACAAAATTTGGTTTAAAAAGCAGGTCCATCAAATGTATGATAAAGATCTGTTGGGCCTCAGAACCTGAATCAAACCTTCGGGCATCGACAGTCCAATATATCGCCAAGGGAAGGGAGCAAAAGCTAAAATAATGTTGGTTCTAGGAGCAGTTCTACACGAGGTGATCCCTGGTTTCTTCAATTTGAAGCATCTTTGCCTTTTGCTTCAACGAACTCCATAGCCTTATCTTTGACTGCCTGGATGCTCTGTGGGGTGCCGTGCTTCTTCTCATACTCCAGGTAGCGCTTGAAGAAAAACTTGATCTTTTTCACCGAAACGCTGAGGTGGATCACCCGATCAAAGAGGGCCCTGCAGAGGGAAATGATAGTTTTCTTTGCTTTAGAGCAGAAAATATACTAATGTAACCAAATGATCATAAACTCACTTTATTCATTTTATCACAATAAGGAAACTCATTAAAACCAGGCTTGATTAAACACAGTGAGCACATAAATACTAGGGGGCACAGCGGATATTGAACCAAAGATTGGTTGTGCCAAAAGCAGCACAGGCATCGTAAAACAAAAAGACTAGGGCTTCAACTAACAATTATTTTGCAAATCGATTAATTGATTTTCTGTTGATTATTTTTTTCGATTAATCTATTAATAATCGGATAGAAGACCTTTTACAAAAGAAAACCAGGTGAAACTAAAACTTTCCATTTGTAGAGTTCTGGATAGACAGAAGGAAATGGGTTTTTGTTATATTAAAAGGCAAAATGTTTACTTTTTTTTTTTTTTACAATTTTGATATAATAACTGCTCTAAGTGGGTTGCCCTGTCAACTAAAGACACATTTTAGAGTCCCGACACTCCGGTTAACGATTAATCTATTAATTAGTTGACAATTATATAGATTTATCTATTTGATTAATTGTTTCAGCCTAATTTAAACCCTTCACCAAAGCTGTGTTGTCAAAGTTCTTACTGAAAAGCAATAACGCTTTTCTTTCTTAAAACAAAGCACAGCAGAAGGGTTTTGGACATCAATAACCATTAACCAGGTTCTCGTTAGCATAGATTAAGTCCACCTGACATGGTTGGAGGGCGGGTCATAGATACATCCATGTGTGGTGACTCCTGTAGCTCTGCATCTCCTCCAAACCCTGGAACAGACTGTTCCTCCATCCTATTAAGGCTGTGGTTGTTCCTGTTGCTTTTGCAATATCATCAACCTTTTTCCTTCCACTCAACTTTCAATGAATAAGTCTGGACAGAGTACTCTGAACACAGAGGTTTTTTTAGCAATATGTGGAGCTTTGCCCTCTTTGTTGACATGTAAACGGCCGCCTGCTGGACAAAGGTTAGCCTAGCAGACCTCGTGATTATGTGGGCAACAATTAGACACGCTTTCAACCAGGAAAGGAATCTAAATTAAATATGTGCAGAGTGCATATCACTGTGCATAATGAGTCTAGATGATAAACCAATTTTGTATGTACTACAATAAATCAGAAGGAATCCAGCGAAAATTGTTAGCAGCTGAGCTCCTGCTTACCTCACTTCCTTCTGTGATGCATATTTGACCATGAGGTCGATGAAAACGGACCACAGATCCGTACGTTTTGGATAAGTCGTCAGGACTTTGTCAAACATAACACGACCTTTCTCTGCGTCACCGAAGCGGAACTCCAGCTGTGCGAACTTGGTGATGATATCAACACCTAATGAGGAGACACCCAACATGTAAACGACATCACAACTGATCTGATTTTATCTGTTAAAATACTGAGGTTGTTTCTTTTGCTGTTTTTGTGCATTTGATCATAAAAGCATACAAAAAAACTAAGTTGGGCATTCTTACTTTCTTTGGGAGGAAGACTTTTCAGCGCCCTCTGCAGGAGAGCACTGGCAGCGTCGTTCTGGCCCTGCTGGAGCAGGAAAGTCCCGTAGCTTAACCACACCGCTTTATTCTGCCGGAAACGTTTCACCATCGTCTTGTACAGGCCTTCTGCCTCCTGGATCCAGACACGCACATCAGAATTAAGAGGAACAACCGTTTTTATGCCATTAAAATAAGATTGAAACCTGGATTTTGTTGGACTGGGCGTAGATATCGGCCAGCTGCTGGTACACAGGCATGGGCTCACAGAACTGCACAGCTCGCTCAAACACTTTCTTCAGACTCTCCTCTGTCCCGTACATGTTCTCCAGGTTCAGCAAGGCCACCCACACGTTCAGCTTCTCCTGCTCCTCCCTGGACAAACGCAAAGCAGAGTTTTAACCCCAAAGCAGTGTTCCCGGTGAAATCTGCCGGCCTCAGGGCTTTTAAACACCTGAAGGAGATGGTTTTCAGGGCCCTCTCGGCCACAGCTCGGGCCTGCTCGATCTGTGTGGCCTGCAGATGGTGGGCCATGTACTGGAGCCACAGCAGGGAGCTGTTGGGGGAGGCTAAAAGAAGTCGCTCAAAGGAGGCCTCATCCTGGGGCCGCAGGTTTGGGTCCATCAGCTCTGCTTCTCGTTGTAACAGGGCTTTCTCAGCAGACTTCTTCTCCTGTTCCAGCTCGTGGCGTGACTTCTTCTGGGGCTGGTCGACAGAGAAAGGTGTCCACAGAGAAAATGAGGTGAGACATATTCAGTTGGATGGGAGGAGACTGTGTTTCTTTCCCCTTTACTCATAAAAATCTGAAATGTGTGGCATACATTAGCACCCCGCTACACACTGATGCTTTGTTAAAGGTCATTTGGATAAAATTAAGTGAATTTTATGAGCTCTTTAAAAAGGTACATGTCTCACTTATTTACACATCCATGAATTTAAAATACCATAGATCATTCTTTGCAAAATAGCTAAAGCTAAACCAGTGGAGAGTTGCTATACATACCCACACATTAAAATTGGTCTGACTCAATCCACTGTAGCTGTATATTTGGAGTAAACGTCCCACCAGGTTAACCTCCACTAAATTCTAAAGTCTTTTGATCCTTTAAACCAGAATAACCCTGAATTTAACTCCATCTTCCCATCTACTCTGATCAATATCCATTAACCCAATGAAGAAACCCCACAGCATGACACAGACTCCACCATGTATTAGTCTTATCTGACTAGAACGTCTCGTGTCTTTCACAGCCTTCAGACTTGATAAGGTTTTCCATCAATAATGACCTCTTTCTTGCCGCTTATCTGTAAAAATTTGGTTTGTACCTGTAGAAATGAATCAATATAACCCCTGTAATGTTTTCGTTTGCATCTCCTTTAGGGGTACCTATTCAATTCCTGCTCCTGTCTTGGTGGTCGGTGCCATTGTATAAACCAACATCTGAGGCCTTCACCAGGCAGCAGTGTTTGTGGTGATATTCAGTTACTTTCCTTCATTTACTTATAAAAATGACACAGCTTGCATTTGCTGTATTTTAGGAGTAACAGGCCACACCATTCAGATTTTAAGTCAAATGAACCTTGGGTTTGGTTCCTTCAAGTTCGCGATAATGTCCTACTTTATGTTGGTCTATCAGATAAAACCAACAGAAGTTTGAGTTTTAATGCAAAGAATAATTTAGGTTGCTTATTACAGGATTTCCACGGGTCATTAAAATCATTAAAATTCATTACATGTGTTTATTGTGGCATTTAAAATGCTTTCTTAAAAATAAATATTTATGAAAACTATTTTGTCAGACCTATATCACGATATATTTTGCAAAGACGTATGATTGATTGGAAGACGTATGTCTTTGCAATCAATGGGGAAGAATGCCAATTTCAACAAAAGTGGCTGGAAAACGAGGAATTCGGGGCATGGCTGCAGCCTGTTGGTGGCATTAAAATTATTTCTAAGAGCATTAAAAACATGAAATCAGAGTTATTCATTCCTATATAAACCTTGTATTAAAGAGCATTCATTTTGTTTCCCTCACCTTATTGTTTCCATCCTGCTCTTCTCCGTCACTGGAGTCCCCGTCCTTTGGTTGTGACGCAGGCCTTAGGGAGCTCAGCCCCTCATCCCAAGAGAACCCTGCTGCCAGCTGCAACCTGGCTGGCGCTGCTGGGCTGGGAGCAACCTGCAGAGACGGACTTGTTTTGTCAGAGCTGAATTCATGGTAGAGCCATAAATAGCTTCAGAGGGTCACCTTACTTTAGAAGCATCGTTCTTTACATCCTCTTTATCATCATCATCCTCCTCTTCTCTGAAGTAAACCTCAACTCCACTGTCATCGGCGTCGGTCTTTGATTTCTTTTTCTTCTTCTTCGGGATCTGGGGTTCCGTTTCCTTCCGTCATAGAAGTGAACAACACAAACTGATCAACCAAAAATCCTCAACAAGGCTATTGCAGCTGTACGGTTCGACTCCTGCATTGTTAAAAGTCTAAATAAGCAATAATTGACAGTAGACAAGACAACAGCGGACATAACGAGTAGCAGAGAGAATCAGAAAATGTGACGAAATTTGTTACCTGTTTGCTTTCAGAGAGCAGCCGCTTCTTTGTCTTTTTTGAGTTGCGTTTCTTTTCGTCCCCAACGAGACGCAGCGGCAGGCCGAGAGATTCTGGAAGCACATCTGGCTTCCCGGTGTCCGCAGGGAGAAGCGAGAGGTCAACCAACTGATCCTCCCTGTCGACACTGAGCGGACAAACAGCGGTTATTACAAAAAAACACCACAGCCTAAAGGCCGAGCTTAGAGGCGGCGATACTAACCTGAGGATTTTAGTGGTGAGGAGGGTGTTGACCGGCAGGTGATCAGACAGGATACTGTGGTTGTGGACAAAGTATTGAGAGGACTGCTGAAGCTGGGCTCTCCCTGTGATGCTGCGTGACAGCCTGGAAAAAGAACAAGGATTTATCTCCAGGCTGTTTTTAAGCTCTTACCGTAATTTTCGGACTATAAGCTGCAACTTTTTCTCCATTTTTCGATCTTGTGGCTTATATAACAATGCGGCTTATCTATGAACTTTTACAGCTAACGGCCACTAGGGTAATACAGTACCTAAATCTATGGATTTTACCATCCACCATGTTTACGTCAGATTTGCTTCAACAAAAGTAGCACATGCGGGAATGCGGACGTCCTCCGGAAGCAGACTCCGAGAAAGACGGACATTGCAAGCGCAAGACACTTTGTGTGACACCTTCATTATGGAAAACCAACGTTGAAATGCATATGACGCAGCTTTTAAGTTAAAGGCAGTCAATTTGGCAGTAAACGAAGGAAATAGAACCTCTGCACGTAACCTTGGAATCAACGGGTCAATGGTGAGACGTTGGAGATGCCAGCAGGAAGAATTGTCTCAATTCAATTGTGTTGAAATGTTAATAAATAGGAGCTTCCCCAAACAGTTGCCCTTTTCCCGACAATCCTCTCTGTGCACGAAGCATATGGTAATTAAACAAAAAAACTGCGGCTTATATTCAGGTGCGGCATATAGTCCGAAAATTTTCTTGCACTGAGAGACAAAGCTGTCTAGAGGATCCCCAATTCTATCCTCTGTAGGCTCGGATTTTCTATAACCAAATGACACAAAGCAGCAAACTAGTCCTCGTCAGACAAGGAACAAATTTAAATCCACTTCACCTTATAAAGACGCCCTGTTCACACACAGACTTCACATATCCTCGGACAATCTGGCCGTGCTGCAGCTGGTCCACAGACAGAACTTCTGGGTCCTTAGGCGACTTGGTCTTCTGCGGGTTCAGCCTGGAAATTCAGCAGGAATGAGCTATATGTTCTGGAAAACATTAGAAAAAACAACAAGCGTTCTCCCAGTGACCGTTCTTACCTTGATGGACGGAGAGACAAGTGCCACTTTCCTTTCTCCACATCTAGAAGACAACACCTAAAGAGGCAACACTGGTTTAAAAGAGCAGCTGGGGGAGTTCAAAAGGTGCTGATGATGGGATGGAAAACCACAGTATCCCAGGTATTCACACCCTTTATATGTGATAGAGCGACCCAGATAAACCAATAGCTCTACGTTCAAATACATTTAACCACCTTTACAGTAGCAGCCATTCAAAATAGCCCTTCACAGTCAAACACCAGCCGAATGGCAGCCCACTTCCCTGCAACTCCCAACAAAATCCCCTCCAACTTCCAGCCACTGGAATGACCCCCTCCTTCTCCTGGGCGTGCATATCTTTTTACTCTGACCCTTTCACTGAATTACAGCATCTGACCAGAAGAGGGCGCTTCTCTTTAGATTTTAATGTCTACAGATCGTGACAGAAAGAATATTTTAGTACAAAGGTTGATGTTTAAAAAGGAATTGTAGGGGACCAGCCAAGGACCCATCAAGGAAAGTGGGGAAATTTTAGCTCTAATCTGTCAAAGACAGGAGCTACAGTTCTTTTTGGTGCGTGTTATTACTGCAGTGCCATGAAAACTAAATGATCATCTAACCTGATGAACTGATCCTTGTGGAAAGTCTCCAGTGGTTTTGGTCTGTAGGAATCACTGAGGTCAGTGACAGAAACGGTACCCGAAGCACCGAAAGGAAGCTTGACCAGGAGGCCGACTTGTGGCAGGACGCTGGTCACCATTCCTAACGTGATGCTGCCTTTCTCCAGTTTATGGATCCCTGGAGAAAAAGCAGGAGAGCAGTGAGAATGACAGAACATCACTGGTGATTCACAGAAAACACATAAACGTTGACGGCATCTTTCACCTGTGAGTGAGAGCACAAAGCGATGAGGCCGCACGCTCACGTCCACCACTTTAGCACAGACCACCTGGCCCAGCTTGTACAGCTTTTCAGGGTGGCTGGCATCCTGAAAACCAGCAAAAAACAACAACTTTATTTCATATTTAATAGCTTAAACCAAAAATATAATCTCAATGTTTTAATTTACTAAAAACCTGACCATAAACAGAATCTGCATCGCTTACTTTAGGATCTGTGATCATGGACAGAAGGTCGACGGTCCCTGTGACGCAGGGGTCGGTGGTGATCTCCAGACACTTCTTGTCTGATCTGAACTGGAATCAAAAGATGATCAAAGTAAAAAAAACGTGATCAAGTTTTCCCAGATTGGCTTTGAAAATATTTTCACTTACAACAGATAGAAAACTTAATCCCCAACAAAAGGGTTCATAAAGCTTACCTTTGATACAAACGCTGTGATTTCATCGCCGACCTTATAACTGGCCAGTTTGTCCTTTGCTGTAACTGGTTTAAATTCTACATCATCCAACTGGCTACAGAAAGAAAGAGGGAAAAGAAAACCATCAGGCTTAGAATAAAAGAGATGTAAACAGAATAATGAGGATAATGTGCTGAGAATGATACCTGGGTATAAGTGTGAGCTCAGGAACTGTGTACTTGAATTTAGGGTGAGAAAATGGAAGAAATCTGAAATATAAAAGGTTTTATAACAAAGATGAGATAAGAGTATTTTACCAATTTTAAATAAATATATACATACATTTCAACAAGAGAGAGTAATTGGAAAAGTGTATTTACTTCTTTTATTAATTGAGGAAAGATCTGCTGACCTAACAGTTGCCAATCAGATGCTCTTACAAACATCCAGCCTAAAGAACATTGGCTGATTACAGAGAGCTCTATCCCAGAGTAATAATAGAACGTTGAGTTAAAGAATAAGATGTGGTAGGGAAAGCTCAACAACAGGGCTGCAGATATCACACCCATTGTCTACAGCATCCGTACCAGCATGTCCAAGGATTCAAATTTGGATTTTAGAAAATTGAACCTTTGCCGCTGGCGCCCGGGCGTCAACCAATCAGAAAAGCTGATCCAGGAGTTATTTTTGTGGGGAGACACTACAAGCTCTGATGCGCCGCTGGACCTCTTGGCGCCGTCCCCCATAGACTTTGCATGTAAATTCGACGCTTTGACGCCCAAAACGTATTCGTGTGAATGCAGCATATAAAAAACAAAAAAATCCAGCGGGATTTCTGCTCGGGAATCCGATGTCATCAACCTTAACCTTTCCTTAAAAGTTGATGGTTTAACAGCTACTAATGCATTTCAGCGCTACATCACAATGTTGGTTCCCTGTATTTCCTGAAGTCCATAATGAATGCAGCCATCTAACCAATCCTCTTTCCAGCAGAACTGGTGCTTGCTAACTCTGCCGCATAAGATGACCATGCTCTTACTGTGCTTGATTAGGCTGCCAAATAGACTGAGATGAAAACAGTCATCAAGAGGAAGAAGAGAGACAACAGATCCAACCATGTAGACGACCGAAGGGTTGCTATAAAACAGATCTGGACTTCCATTACACCTCAGTATAACCAAGGATGCAGTAATTCATGCAAAAGGAGCCCAGACCAACAATAGTATATATTGGGACCACATCCCTGGACTTAAAGTCCCTTTCTCTCAGTCTGATATAGTTTCTGAGAAGTTAAGTTTAAGGGTTTGATCAGCTGTTAGCCATAAAAATCACAAATAAAGGAAAAATATATAAACGCATTTCATATTTAACAAGAAATAGTTACATAGAATTACTCTTAAATCATATTTAGATTCCCTGAGAAGCTTTGCTAACCGGTTATTGGTGGCTTCCCGTCCTCCAATGACCCTGGCTTTGACCACGCTGCCCACTTTCACGGTGGACGTGGGGAAGGACCCCTGTCTGATCTCAGTGGGCTCCACCACCTGTGAGACGTGGACGCTGCCCGTGCTTCCGTCCTCCAGAGCGACCTGAATGCACGTGGGCTTCACAGACGTCACCTTGCCCTGCAGGACTTTTCCAAATCGGTGTCCCGCAGAGTCCGCCTGGTTTTCCGATGTTGTGCGCTGCCGCCTTGGTGCCCTACCCTTCCACAGCACCAGGGGGAGCCCTTCTAGCTCCTCGCAGCTGGGCTCCACAACTTGCACCGTCAACGTCATGCCCACCTTGAGTCTCTCTGACTCTGACAGAATGACCTCGTTGAGGTGGTTGCAGGTTTGGATCAGGGTCAGCTCTGCTGCGTCCTTCAGCGAGACAACAGCAAAGTCCTGGTCTACAAACTGAACCACGGCGGAGCACTCTGAGCCTTCATTCAGCTGCAAGAAAACAGATTGAAAACATGTCAGAGATGACGTTTCTGCAGAATACTGAAATCAAGAAAGCAAACAGGAGCTACACTTACAGATTTCTTTTTCCCAAGCAGCTTGTGAAGGACGGAAACATGGACACAAGCAGACAGGATATCGACGCTGAGGATAACTGCGCTCACTTTCTGTCCAGGGCTCAGGCTAACTCCTGGAAAACACAGACCGGAACATTCATAGGGCAGCTCTACTGCTACAGATAATAAGAGCAGAGACAATGTGGAGCATTGCAGGAATGCAACAAAAATGTATTATTATTTTACACAGATTCAAGATTTCACAAACAAAACAGAATATTTGAGTCTACTTCCCTTTTCAAGCAGGAGCCAGTTTAATAGCAAATTAAAACACTGCCATTCTTTTACAAATAAAGTTAATGCTTGCTTATGCAAAAGGACAGAACTATCCAAAATAATTACTTATGTTTAAATGCAATACAAATGTTTAAATGCAATAAGAACAGTAAAAAAGTTAGGGAAAAAAAGCACCTCTAAGCAAATACAAATTTCTGCAAAAAGACACAAGGATTAAGATGGAATTGCACTTTATTGCTTTTTAAAAAACAAAAACAAAAAAAAGTTTAATAAATTAGAGATTGACATTTTGTAAAACCTGTGAAAATCTATGTAAAAATTGCATGACGATATCAAAACCAGGCTGGTCCTATGAGGAAAGGTATCCGACTCCATTTGTTAGATCATGACTTAACTGTAATTAGGAGCAGTTTCAGTGAACACACTTAGGACTGATAGTTACCTGATGTATAACATTAAAAACTATCACATCAAAAGAAAATAAGGATCCCCCAAATCCTTTTAAGGGGACTTAAATCGATTTCTTCAAAGAAGAAAATTACTTCTACAGTTATATGAAAGAGTCCATTTTGAACAAGACATTCAGAATAAGTCTACAAAATATAATCAATAAAATAAATTGTTTTGGTTTTTATTCCACTTGTCTTTTATGTCTGTTTAGCCTCCATCTTAGCCAGCCTCAGGCTACCTGTAAACATCAGCTTCTGAATTTATACTAAATGAGGAAACAAAAAGTCCTCCAATTCAGATTAGAGATCAAATGAACCTCATTACCGTAATGCTGAGTTAGTTATGGCGGGGCGATGTGAAGAAAATCTAAAATGGCGATATCTTTGAGCTATATGTTTAAATCACCTTGAAAAACAATAGAGTGCATAAAATTGCAATAATATACTCATTCAAATTTTGGTTTCAAATTTTATTTAATTTTATCCGGCTCAAAGCTTTTCACTAATGATTCTGCCACATTATGTCTTTCGCTGCCAGTTTTTAACATGATCCCAGCAACCAAACAGGAAACGCAGCATGATTGGAGCATCTCCAAACTATTTGCATCGATCTTTATGTGCTGGGTATTTTAAAGAAGCACAAAAAGCTGTAAAATTGAGAACATTTATAGAAGGCCTTCAAAATCTCTGAAAAAGACCACATCAGATAACAAGTATTGGAGAAAATAGCATCTGTGATTTCCCTTCATGTCTTCCTTTTTCTCTCATATAGGATCTCTTTTTCAAACGACGAGGCCAACATCAGCTGCTTCACAGCTGATTTATTTAAGGTTTCGACTGGTCTGCTGGGAGACGCTGACATTCAGAGTTGACAACATTCTTCATTTTGCAGTGGATGACTTTTTAGGTGCTGGAAGAAATTCAAACTGCTACCTTTTGCAGCTCATCTTACAAATTGCTGCTTTTATTCAACGTCCTCTGCGTGAAATTGATTGCCATATATTGCTCAGCTGCAATGCATGCTGAAGCCATATTTCGTTTGCCGGTTGCTGTAGTATGCGTGGAGGACGGGTTTATGATGCATTTAAAGTGTGTGGGGAAAAATAAAACTCAGTGAAATAGATGCAGATGGCTTAATGTAGTCACGTGAATTTGTACTTGATGGTTGCGATAGAGTCATTTTTTATTATCGTGTGTGGGGAATCTCGAGTATATTCGATATATCGCCCACCCCTAGTTAGTTTGAGCTCGTTTTTTAGTGTTCCTAAACATACCCGTCACATGGTGTTTGCTGGCTAGGATGGTGGCGCCCGGCAGGTCATCAGATTTAAACTGGGCTCCGTTTTCACTCGAAGAGTCCACCGTCAGTTTCAGCCTCTGCCCAACGAACAAAGCGGCCAACTGCTGCCAAAGTTCGTTGTTATCTAAAGACAAAAACAATAAAGGGAGGAGTCACCAAAATAAACCTTCTGAGGGGGGGTGGATCCAACAGTGAGGGCATCATAGTAAATAAAGAGAATCCAGCAGCTAACCTCTGACAGCCAGCATTTCCTTTACAGCTCTTCTCTCCTTTAGGCCGTTCAGCAGTCGGCTCTGGGCGTCCCAGTCAGGTGTGATGACTTCTGATACCTTCAGCGTCACCAGGAACCGCCGCTTCTCCTCATCCAGGTTGGTCACCTTGGCAATAACCGTCTGACCTAGCTTGAAAGCGGTCGTTGTGTCGGTGATGAACTTATCCGACAGGGCCTTAATAACACGGATAAGAACTGTTAAAGGTGAAACACGGGGACCTTAAAGAAAAAGGAAAACTGATTCTCAGTTTTTTACTCACAGACTTGGGTGCAAGACCAACAAGACCATAGGGGAACTCTACGAAGACACCGTACGACATGATGCTCTTGATCCAGCCAATCAGCTGCATCCCAACAGTCACCTCAGAGAAATCTTTAGCGACGGCTCCTTCCTCCAGCGACCATCTCACTATGGGTTTCTTGGTAACCGTCTTTAAATAAGAGGCAGTTAAGTCAAATATAAACCAATCTTATACCAAATGATGCCTATTTTTAACATTTCAGGGTAGAGGATACAATATTCTGCTTGTTCTTGTTAAAGCAGACGAGGTTTGAGATGGTGTCTCCTTCCTTTAGACTCTCCCACAGTAACACACAGTTGGACGTGTGATCAGAGAGGTGCACTGTGGGTAGCACAGCGCGGAACTCATCTGGGAGGACGACGATCTCCAGACCGTTCACGGTTTTCTTCACCACCTTTGCTTCCAGCCTCTGCATCATAAAAGGATGCATGATAATCAGGAATATATGATGGAGCCTAAAGCAACAAGAACTGGAGCTTACCTTTCCCACCTCACAGTCCAACTGAGCTTTGGTAGGCTCCTCCGTCTCTCCTTCTGCCACCGCTTTAAATGACAGCAACAACTTCTCCTTCTCGGGCTCACACTGAAGAACTTTGGTCTTCAACACCTGCAGGTAAACCAGATAGGAAAATATTCCAACACTCCAGGTTGAGAGAATGTGGATTCAAAACAGACTGAGCAGCTTAAAAGTAGAGACTCAAATGACATGATGCGAAATCTGAGGTCGCTCCACCCACACAGAAACAAGTCAGGGTTAAGTCACCAACAAAAGCTTACAGAACCTGGTAGGAAGCACTTTAGTAGATGCACTACTTTAGATGATCTACTGAATGCTTTGTGCTACGGCTAGGATATTAGCTGCATTTGCTATATAGTCACAGTTTAGAAAAACACAATGGAACAATGTGTGTGTGTCAAAACAATATGGTCAAATGCAAAAAAAAAAAGATTTAGAGAAACTTCAAGTAATGCAGAATAAAGCTGCCCGTGTAGCATTAAATTATTCACACAGGACCAGTATAAATACCATGCATTCAAATCTAAGCTGGCTAAAGATTCATGACACGGCACTAGCTTCGCTATTATTCTCAACGTGGAAAATCTTAAAACTCCAGAGTCCACCGTTTCCGTTTGTTCAATTTAAGAATAATCTCACGGTTATGCCACGAGACATGAAGGACGATTTGTAATTTTTAGGGGGCAAAAACTAGTTTTCTCAAATGCACCTTTACTTACAGAGCAATGAAAGAATGGAACTCATTGCCATTAAGTCTCATAAAAATTCTACATAAGTCTGCTTTTAAAATGCAACTTAAGAAGTATTTAGGAGCAACTTAACCATAAATGAAATAGTTTCATACTCTAATTTATCGTAACTGACTCATAAAATGTTAAAATTTTAAATTGTAACTTTCCCCTTTTCTATGAATGTTCAGTCTTATTGATATATATATATGATATTTGTCATCTGTCAAACATGTTCATGAATCTATATTGTATACTGTATTTTAATGATGTGGACCCCAGGAAGAGTAGCTGGGTGTAAAGCACAGCTAATGGGGATCCTAATAATAAATAAACAATGTTCAGGTTGCAGTAATACACTTAAATCTACTGTGTATTTAAGTGTATTGCAGTAATACACTTATCTATGCATGATAGTAGAAGTTAGAACTTTTTCACGCAAAAGTAATGGTTAAGTCCTGCAACAATGAACTCTGGACAAGAAAGCTTTCTAGGTTATAAAAAAAAAACTCTGGAGTGAATAATTGACATGCTTTTGCTTAGCGCAAAAAAAATGCAAGATTGTCATATAAAATCAAAATTAATCATAATTTTGATTTTTAGCTAAATGGATTAGGCCTACTTTGAAATAGATGAAGTGTTAACTGGTGACCACAAAGACGAAATCTACAAAACCAGAAGGTGCAACTTAAAACAAAACCCATTAACCGTTCTATAGATTTAACCAGTAAACTTAGAGTTTGTTTGCGCCGGTGAAGATGTGGTCCTGTGGATCACCATTATGTTTAGCAGCAGGCTGTCATCCATTTTTTCAGGGATACTTTAAGGTTTAGGGAAAGAAATAATCTGACCTCTAAAGTATATTTGAATTGCATGTTTCTGCAACAACATTTCAGTGTTTTTTTTCCCCCCAATATTTCTTTAACAAAATCCATAGGACTGCAGAAATAAGACAATTGTCTGAGAAAAAGGTTTCCTGGAATAACTGGTGTTTAAATTCAGGGTGATTGGTAATTTGTAGAGGATTAACTGGTGGCAATTAGCTTATTTCCCTACTTCTTTGTCACATGATACTAAAAGTATACAGTGAAAAGTTCAATGGAAAGTAGAGTCCTGCACGGGTCGAGTTTTACCAACCCGCATCCGCCCGAACCTGTTAGGATGACTACTGAACCCGACCCGCCACCCGCGTATATCTTCAATTCAAATCCGAACCCGACCCGACAACACATCAAGTAATAAGCTATAGTATGCTACGCTGCAGAACAGCGCCATTAACACAGCAGCAGACGTGTAAGCACTGACTGTGGCCTTTTTGGAGGGAAGCCCACACTGCCGGCAGGACTTTAAGCTACAAGGGTGACCCCAGTGCCTGATTAATGTAACATTTCTGTTGTCCATAACAATAGACACTAGGGATGGGAATCGAAAACCGGTTCCTGTTCAGAACCGGTTCCGTATTTTCCGATTCCATGGCATCCTTTGGCACCTCGCTGAACGATTCTTTTTTCGG